GTCTGCCCTTACGTTGGTCTGCAGTTGCGCTGCTCTGCAACTGGGTTGTTCTCTCCAGCACCGGCTGGCTACCTCGACACCGCCTCGTCCCGGTTAGCCTATGCGCCATAGCACGTCGTCTGCATCGCACGACTGTTGCATTTGCAAATCTACTGACACATCGAGCTCTGTTCCCACAATCAAACACGATGTGTCCCCTCACACGCATCGCTTGTATTTGACGCTTTTAGGCTTTCGATTGTGAGCATGTTTAGTAAATAAGAATTTTAGACATTTTACTTTATTCCACCACGCAGACCTCCGCTTCACCTTGCCCCTTCGGAGGTCATGTTTTCTCTCTCTTGAAACACACTTTATTTCCCCATAGTTTTTAATAGAGCACAGAGCGCCGGTGAGGCTCACTCTGATGGCAAGGCAAAGCGAAGCGAGCATTACACCCAAAAGTGCCAAACTAAAGACGAAAGACGAAAGGCAAAAGACGAAAGGCAAAAGACAAAAGACGATAGACCAGAGCTAACCAACCGCTGCCTGGCGAGTGTGGAGGCTCACACAGTGCTCGATGCGCATGCCACGGATCTAATTTGGGTTGGATCTGTCCTCACCCGCTTTATTTTCAATGGCGTTCTGCTCATCAAACTTGCTGGCCAACTGTGCTCACCCGTTCATCAACCTACTATCCAACTGACTGCAGTTTATCGTGGATTGTTACACACACACACGCACACACAAATACACACAAATACACACAAATGCTGTCTGCTGCAGATTTTTGTGGTCGCAATCCTCCCTCTCGCAGATAAAAACATGCCACACCTGCGTGGTCTTCCAGCCCCACCTCCTTGACAATGAGCGAGGCACGCAGCTGCGGAATCCCCCTCCCCTCCCCTCTTGCAAAATACAAACAGATGCGCAACAACGCAGAGCAGCAGAGTCGGCTCGGCTCTGCGCGGCGACCGACCATGGACTCGGCAAAAGAAGCGAGCATACCAGGGGTCGAACCTGGAATCTCCTGATCCGTAGTCAGGCGCCTTATCCATTTGGCCATACGCCCGTTGCTGTTGCAGATGTTCTCGGTGCACGATGGCGCACAGTCCTGTCCTCGTCGCTGTCTCTGCGTCCAACTCTATTATTCACTCCCTACTCTATTATTCACAGCCTCGTCCTCATTTCTCATCTCATTCTGGTTCTGCTATCCACTGCCTTTTCCGGCCTCTTGTTCCGACTCTGCTGTGCATTGCCGTTCTTGGATAGGGATCGTTGCCACGAGTGCCGTCCGCTATTCTAAGTTGCTTCTCTCTTTGCCCCTTGCCTGTTTTGCTAGTATGGTTGGGCTTAACTGTTTACAACCTTGTTGCTGCTGCTGCTGCTGCTGCTGCTGCTGCTGTTGTTGTTGTTGTTGTTGTTGTTGTTTTCTTACATCGGTCTTGAGGTCACCGACATCGCTCACAGCCAGCATTGCACCTCTGCTGTTCACTGCTGCCTTTGATTACACCTCTGTCATTCACTGCCGTTTACCCCTCTAACTCTGCGGTTCATTGCTGCTTCTGGCTCCTGCTTTCGTTCTTGCTCTGCTGTTTCGTCCCCTCGGTTCTCTCTCTCTCTCTTGCCGCCACTGCAGCTTCACATTCACTTCGCAGTCAGCGTCCATTCCACAGCTGTGTTCACTTCGCAGTCTGTGTTCACTCCGCAGCTAGCGTCCATCCCACACCCAGATTCCATTGCACAGCCAGCGCTCACTCCACTCTACCGCATCGCCGGAACTCCCGCACCGCAGCATCCAGCCACGGCGTCGACTCACTGCGCACACTCCGTCTGTCCGGCCAGCCTCTCCCGTGCCTTCGTCTCAATCGAACATGGTCCTCGAAACCGCCCCCCCC